TATGTCGGATATGAGGATGAGGAACAAGATGGGAGTAGTACTGTGCCTTGTGGAACAGAGCTTTTCACCGTAGCTGCCTCGGACTTTACTCTGTTGACGACTACTCTGTGTGTTCTGTTAGTGAGGAAATTATAGATCCATCGACCGACTTTTCCTGTTATTCCTTTAGCGCGCATTTTGTGCGCTATTACCCATGGTCACACTTGTCGAAGGCTTTTGCAAAGTCTTATATATACATCGGGCATTCTTTTTTTCTTCTAGTGCATTTAGGACCTTGTCGTAGTGATCCAGTTAGTTGAGACAGACAGGAGCGACCTGTTTAAACCCATGTTGCCCTGGGTTGTGTAACTGATGGTTTCTAGATGGGTGGTGATCTTGCTTCTTAGGACCCTTTCAAAGATTTTTATGATAGGGGAAATGTTAGTGCTATTGGTCCTAGTTCTTTGCTGTTGCTTTACTGCCCCTTTGTGGAGTGGGGCTATGTCTGTTGTTTTTTTAGTAACTGAGGGACGACCCCGTGTCCATGCTCCCTCTCCATAGGATGGAAAAGGCTCGTGATAGGGGGTTCTTGCAGTTCTTGATGAACACAGAGTTCCATGAGTCTGGCCCCGGAGCAGAGTGCATGGGCATGTCATTTATCGCCTGTTCGAAGTCATTTTGGCGCAGGATAACATCGGATAGGCTTGTGTAATCCAAATTTTTTGGCTCCTCATAAAAAAATTCATTTTGATCTTCGACTCTCAGTCTGGTTAGTGGCTTGCTAAAAACTGAGTCATATTGGGACTTGAGTAGCTCACCATTTCCTTGCTGTCATCTGTGTAGGACCCATCTTGTTTAAGTAGGGGCCCAATACTGGGCGTTGTTCTCGATTTTGATTTGGCATAGGAGGGAAAAAATACTTTGGGTTTCTTTCGATTTCCTTTATAGCTTTTAGTTCTTCCCGCGATTCCTGACTCCTAAAGGATCTTTTAGCTTAAGTTCGATGCTTGCTATTTCTCTGACCAGTGTCTCCCTGCGCATTTCAGATATATTGACCTCTTTTAGCCGCTCTGTTATTCTTTTCCGTCGCCTGTAAAGGGAGCGCCCGTTTTCTATTTTACATCTACTTCCTTTTTCTTAGAGGAATAAGCCTTGTGCATACATCGAGTGCCACCGAGTTAATCTGTTCTAGGCATAAATTTGGGTCTGTGTTGCTTAGTATATCTTTCCCCGCTTATATCGGTTAGGACTTGGTTTACTTGGTCCCACTTTATGTTTTTGTTATTGAAGTTGAATTTGGTGAATGCTCCCTGTGACTAGTCTCATTTGTCGGTCTGGGCTCCTCGCATACATGTCTGAACCTCAATTATGTTTTGATCTGAGTATATTGTTTTTGATATGGTGACATTTCTTATCAGATCATCATTGTTAGTGAATATGAGGTCTAGTGTATTCTCCAGTTTTAGTAGGCTCTATTTTTTGCTGGTTTAAATTTAATTTTGTGCAGAGATTTAAAAGCTCGTGTAGTGTGAGTTTTCATCAGAGCTGCCTCCTGGTGTTATTTACTGCAACAATATTATTTGCTATATTCCTCCATTTTAGGTGCCTTAAGTTTTAAATCCCCCAGGAGCAAGATGTTGGGTGCAGGAGCTGGAAGATTTTCCAGACAGTGGTCAATTTTTAACAGTGTTCCTGGAATTGCTGGGGTGTTGCATCCGGGGGCTTGTAGACTACCCCAATGACTAGGTTTTGGTTCTCGACCTTTACTGCTAAAACTTCCACTACGTATTTGAGGCATTAAGCAAATTCTGTGCAAACAAGTGACTCTGCAATGTACAGGCCCCAAACCCCCCCCCCCCCCTTTTGCCTGTTCACTCTGTCACATCTGTATAGGTTGTAACCTGGGATCCATATTTCATTGTCCAAGTGATCCTTTATGTGGGTCTCAGTGAAAGCCGCGAACATTGCCTTTGCCTCTGCAAGCAGTCCACGGATGAAAGGTATTTTGTTGTTTGTTGCTGGCTTTAGACCCTGTATATTTGCAAAGAAGAATGTTATCGGACTGGTGGTAAATTTTGGTACTGGGGGGGGATTTTTTTTCCGGCATTAGTATCTGTATCTGTTGGTTTGGAGTGGAGGCCATCGACTGTGGTTCCACTCCAGGAATGACTGGATTTGGTGTACGATTTCTGCCATTTCCTGCCAGTTTTTTTCCTTCCTGGCACTAAAAAACCTCTCCCTCTTGAGTGGCTGTGGCTACCCAGGTTTTCCCATGGCCTGGATGTTTTGTATCTTTTTTTTCCCCTTTAGATGGTATGCCTGGCAATTTAAGTTATACACAGTCTTTCCTGTACTGAAGAGGTACACATTTCAGGGTGAAAAAGCTTACAGGAAGGGAGTTTGCATTTTCCTGTTGTCATATGGCATGGCATTTTCTAGGGTGGTCATAGTTGCACGTCCCATCTGTTTTTCCAGATTTTCCATGCCAGCAATACCAAGTGCATAGTATGTGCACAGGCTTGGTTTCCGCTTGCCTTGGGTTCTGTGACTGTATTCCCTGTTGGTGCATGTTTCCCTGTCTTACTTCTATCTCCCTAGCAAACCCAAAAAGGGGCTCCCACCCGTTGTTTTTGGTAAAATTTTTCCTCACTATTGCTATTGGAGTCCTCTTGTTTTTCTATTTCCTGCGGTATTTCTAGTTTGCAATATTGGTTTTATCTTTTCTTTGACTACACTTGTTTCCCTACTATGGCTCCTGTCCCCTATGAGGTCATTTATATGTATTCCTTCCTGCGTATAATTCCCGACTACCTGGACAAAATCTCCAGCTTCACCATTACTGTCTCCCAGGACAGTATCTCCAGCTTCACCATTTCTGTCTCCCAGGACAGCACCTCCAGCTTCACCATTACTGTCTCCCAGGACAGCACCTCCAGCTTTACTATTACTGTCTCCCAGGACATCACCTCCAGCCTTACAGTTTGTGACTACATGGCCAGTATCAAGGGCAGTACCATTCAGCCCAGACTTTTTATGTTCCCATCTGTTGTAGAGTTTTTACACAGTGTGATATGGACACGAGGTATATCAAAAAGAGATCTGTGTCTTGTGTTGTGGTCATGTGTCCTGTTTAAGTTGGTGAGAAGAAGTTTGAGTGGAGGGTTTATATTTGCGTGTATTGTTCTGTGTATGTAGTAGGCACATGAATAAGTATGGATGTTCTTAATTGTGAGCAAATTCAGACTTTTGAAAATTGGTGGAGTATGCTGGCGGGAGTGGGAATTCGTTATCATTCTTACTGCTGCCTTTTGCTGGGTTATGAGGGGTTTTAGTTGATTGGATGTTGTTGATCCCCATGCACAAATTCCATATGTAAGATAAGGGTATACGAGTGTATGGTACAGTGCCAGGAGAGCTGATTGTGGAACGTAGTACCTTATCTTTGATAGTATGCTTACAGTCTTGGAGATTTTCTTGGTGATTTGTTGTATGTGTCCGGAACTTAAGGCTACTGTCAAGGTGGATACCTAGGAATTTTCCCTCTGAGAGTCTTGTGACTGATGATCCATTTAGCGTTATGTTAATCGGATCATTTGCAGCTTTGTTTCCAAACTGAATGAAATAGGTTTTTATCAGTATTCAGGGTAAGTTTATTAGTCATCATCCAGGCAGATATTTTCTGCAATTCGGCATTGACTGTGTTTGCTAGTATGACTGTGTTTGGGTGGGAAAAGACGTATGTAGTGTCATCTGCAAATAATGTGGGTTTGAGTAGCTGTGATGCATTCGGTAGATCATTGATGTAGATGAGAAAGAGAAGTGGTCCAAGGACGCTTCCTTGTGGGACTCCTACTGTGATTGGTTATGTGGAAGAGTTTGCATCATTTGCATACACATATTGAGTTCTGTTACTAAGGTATGATTTAAGGTAGTTCAGGGAGTGGCCTCTGATACCATAGTGCGTTAATTTGGAGTACAGCAGTTCATGGTCGACTGTATAGAAAGCTTTACGTAAATCGATGAAAATGCCCAGCGTGACTTCTTTCTTTTCGAGTGCGGTATATATTAGTTCTAGCATGTGTATGATAGCATCATTCGTGCTTTTATTATTCCTGAATCCAAACCGAAAAGGGTTTTTTAAATTTTTGTGTGAGACGAGGTGGGAATAGATCGTCTATTGATTAATTTTTCAAAGATTTTAAAGAGCAGTGGTAAGTTAGATATTGGTCTATAGTTATTCAAGTCAGCTTGGTCACCTCCTTTGTGGATCGGAGTGACCCTCGTTATTTTGAGGATTGTTGGGAAGGTAGCTGATTCAATGGATTTGTTAAAGAGCGTTGCAATAATTGGTGACAATACTCGAGAAGCTTTTTTGTACATAAAAGCAGGCAAGCTGTTTATGTCTCCTGCCTTGTTTTTAAGGGTGCTTATGATGAACGTAACTTCTATGGGGTTGGTTGGATCTAGGAATAGCGTATTTGGGTAGGTACCTATGAGGTAGTCTGATGGACGGGTGTTTACGCTTGGTATTTTGTTCGCTAGATTTTTACCTATGGTGGAGAAGAAAACATTGAGTCTGTTTGCTGTTTCAGTAGGTGTGAGTGGGGGTTCATCTGATTGTTAGTTTGATTGTTTTGTTTTTGGATAACTTTTTATTTTCAAGAATTTCAGACAGTTTTCCAGTTTTTTTTTCATATCACTACACCAAAACCTCTGGTCACTTTAAGAAGGAAGGAACAACACACTACTCAATTATTTTATTATCTTAAGGGAAAGCAGTGAGCCCATATGGGTCATACAATGCCTGAGGAATGGGAGGTAATCAGGTTTGATGCAAGGAATCGGAGGACAACTCCAATTCTGATGGGAAAACACTACCCAGTAGTTCTGGTGTCAGAGGAGTTGGCCAATGGCTATGTAATTATTAAATTCAGCTCGCTTCAGGGGGATCTGAGAGTCGGTTTAAGAGGTAATATGTACTATGAATTTTATGTTATCAACAAAATGATTTCTTCCTTCAGGTTGGTTGCAGGGAACACTTGATGGCCGCACAGGACTTTTTCCTGTTGATTATGTTGTACCAATTGCCAGGTCAGAAGCCAGAATTGCTGCTTCAGCTGCTGCTTCTGCTACTACCAGTACTGTTGTTACCACTGCAACCACCACCATTGCTGCTACCAAGGTAAGAACTGCTGAAGGAGTAAAAAATTAACACACAGAAGGAGTTAAAGGTGTTGAAATATTAGCATTTTGAAAAGGTATCCATATATTGAATTATATCTAAGATATTATTAAAGCAAAGGCTAAAGAGAAGTTGGACCAAGTATCAAGATGTTTATTCTGTGGTTAGCAATGAAGTACATGTGTGGAGAGAAAGAGAGGTGACAATGTTAGTAATGGTGGGGATAGCACAAGAATTTCATGATTAATATGAATGTTTACATAAATACTAGTGGATGTGGGTGATGAAAATAACTTTTCTGACAGTGATGCATAATTTTTGTTTAGCCTCAGGTTGATGTCCTCGAAACAAGCTTGATAGAAAACGAGTCTGAAATGCGAAGTGCTCTAAGTGCAGGCACTTGGATTCAGCAGCCCATCCACACCAACCCCCGCATCCAGTCTCATCATGATGACTCTGGCCACTCTTCTGGTGGAGAGGGAGGTGGTGGGCCAGGTAGTGGTGAAGGTCCAGGAAGTGGAGGAGGGCCAGGTAGTGGAGGGGGTGGGAGCCAGCCTGTGGTCCATGACGGGAAGCACTCTTTGCTTCAGTTTGCCCTCCAGCATTTCAGATTGTCCAAAGAACAAGGCATTGTGCAGTCTGATGGTACACTCCAGACCAACAAAACCAAGAAGAAGAAGGGCAACAAGGACCACGTTGCAGAGTGGACATGGAAAGAGCAGGTTTGTTAAAAAAAAATGTCAATTATTTGAGATTATAATAAAGATTATCTCTCTCAAATTAGAAGGTAAAAGGGAAAGGAGACATCAACATCAAGCTCTCTGAAATGGGCTGTGTAGTTTGAGGATACCTTATTTATATAAATGATAAAACCTGTATCTTGTATTAAGAGCCATTGTGTGCGAAATACTAATTTCATCTAGGAATATCAAGGCATTTACTTAATCAAATATGGAAAAATAAAGTAGGAGTGAAGGACTGTGAGGTTTTAGCAAAGATTTTATTGACTAGTTCTCCATCATGGTTCAGACAGAATGGGTAGCTGTTTTGACGAGGACAGCTTTAAGAAAAAACAGGAGCAATTAAGTTGAATTGGTGATAAGGTTAGGATTCTTTAGATCTGCAGCTGAACACATTTGTTGTTAGGTAAGACACATATGCAACAGTTAGACAACTTTATTCCGAAACGTTTCGCCTACACAGTAGGCTTCTTCAGTCGAATACAGAAAGTAGGCAGGAACAGTAGAGATGTGAAGACGATGTAATCAGTCCATCACCCTTAAAGTCGTAGAATTTGAGGTTGTCAGTCCCTCGGCCTGGAGAAGTTCAGTTCCATAGTCAGGAACTATCTGAAGATCAAGCGACAGTGCGGAGACTTAAATACTGTCGGAAGGAGAGGTGCAGGGTAGTAGTAGTAGTAGTAGTAGTAGTAGTGAGAGGCAACTGAGAGGTCATGTCCCTCTCAGATCCAACCCTTCTCACTTGAAAAGCTTGTCCAAGGTGTTTTCTGTACCAAGATGCCACGTGTTGCAGTGTCTGACAAGATGAACATCAAAATGGTATACAATACCGACAGGTTGTTAGGTAAGACACATATGTGTCTTACCTAACAACCTGTCGGTATTGTATACCATTTTGATGTTCATCTTGTCAGACACTGCAACACGTGGCATCTTGGTACAGAAAACACCTTGGACAAGCTTTTCAAGTGAGAAGGGTTGGATCTGAGAGGGACATGACCTCTCAGTTGCCTCTCACTACTACTACTACTACTACTACTACTACTACCCTGCACCTCTCCTTCCGACAGTATTTAAGTCTCCGCACTGTCGCTTGATCTTCAGATAGTTCCTGACTATGGAACTGAACTTCTCCAGGCCGAGGGACTGACAACCTCAAATTCTACGACTTTAAGGGTGATGGACTGATTACATCGTCTTCACATCTCTACTGTTCCTGCCTACTTTCTGTATTCGACTGAAGAAGCCTACTGTGTAGGCGAAACGTTTCGGAATAAAGTTGTCTAACTGTTGCATATGTGTCTTACCTAACAACCTGTCGGTATTGTATACCATTTTGAACACATTTGTGATGAATGGTTCAAGATTATACATACTACTAAACAATTTAATGGTCTTCATAGTCATTAGGGATGGGGGCATTGGAATACTTTACCCTCAATGGATCTGACATGTATCAAGAAAACAACTATGCTATGGATCTTCATAAGAAAAATTGCTATTTGTCTTCTAAAGAAGTTTCTCCAACTAGGATGTTCAGATAAGAACTTGGTATTGTAAAAACTTTTTTAATGCTTTTTGTAGGTTGAGATGGTAAAGTTCAGCCAGTCACCACTCTCTGCATCATTGCTTCCATTGGAGCCTGAGTTGAGCCAGATGGCTGTGGAGAGCTTTGTGGCAGTGATGCGCTATATGGGAGATTACCCTATGGCACCCCAACACACTGAAGTTCATTGTGTCTACACCATTCTTATGGTTAGTGGATTACTCCTTCATGATAAAGTTGATATGTTAGCCAAGAAGAGTACCCAGAAGAAGAATGTAGAATATAACTTTGGTATAACTGTGTTTAGCATTAGGAATAATATTAGGAGAGAAGTAAATAATGAAAATGATTGTTATAGGAATGCAGTTAGAAGCCTGAGTAGATCAATAACCCACTATGATAACATGAACGTAGATAAGTATGTTTATGGAGCAACTTGCAATGTGAACAGACTGACTTGATGTTGTAGTGGCCAGGCTTAGGCTTGGTTACAAGTACTTCTGGCAGTTTGGGAGAGACACAGATGATGATCAAACTAAATGTAAATTATGTGATCAGGCATATGGTCACTCTCTTGAACACTGTGCTTAATTGTCCACTTATTGAGGAATACAGAGACAGTATAATAACCTATGTGACATGTCAAGATATCTTATTAATGAAAATAAGATGCCAGATATACTAAGCAAATTTCCTAAATTTGCTTGCAACAGATAAGTGAACTATAGATATGTAGATATAAATCCATATGTATTCCTGTTAACCCTTTGGGGCCTAGTTCCTAGGCCTTTTGTGTATCCATATGCTCTCGCGCTACCGTCCACAGGATGGATATGGGGTGCACAATAAACTAGCCACTTCGGTGGCAAAATCTAATCTTATGGTTAGTGGGACAAGAAATTTGTCTTTGGACATCTTATGTAATCGATAATTCTGTGGTAAGGATTATTTGGTGTAATGTGTATACGAGTCTGCTTATTTAACTTAATCTTTCTTCTTTGAACAAACCGGCTGTATCCCACTGAGGCAGGGTGGCCCAAAAAGAAAAACAAAAGTTTCTCTTTTTTAAATTTAGTAATTTATACAGAAGGGGTTACTAGCCCCTTGCTCCTGGCATTTTAGTCGCCTCTTACAACACTCATGACTTATGGAGGAAGAATTCTGTTCTACTTCCCCATGGAGATAACAGGAAATAAACAAGAACAAGAATTAGAAAGAAAATAGAAGAAAACCCAGAGGGGTGTGTGTATATATATGCTTGTACATGTATGTGTAGTGTGACCTAAATGTAAGTAGAAGTAGCAAGACGTACCTGAAATCTTGCATGTTCATGAGACGGAAAAAAGGACTCCAGCAATCCTACCATCGTGTAAAACAATTACAGGCTTTCGTTTTACACTCACTTGCCTCCCTGGGCGGTTGCTGTCTACCAACCTACTAGCTACTAATAATTTAGGTAAATACTTTTAGGTTGGTTTAAATGCTTTAAATTTTTAAAGCTACAGCATGTTTATATACGTACATATTAAATATACTTTAGGAGCAAACATGACCAGCAAAATACCAAATTCCCATGCCAAAGTTAGAGATTACCTCGCTGATAATTACACCACACATTGCCCTTAAACATGACATCTCCACTCCCTCCAGCCACCTCCTCACTGCAGCATTTGCAACTTACGCTTCACACCCACGTAAGTGATGGTACCACTATACTCTCATACATCCCTCCTTTGCCTCCATGTACAATGTTTTTTGTCTCTGTACCTATCTTGGCTAATTCAACAGAGGCTATTCAGTAATAAATTAGCTATAAAAAAAATACTCTGTACCACTGAGAGAACTACTAGTGTGCTATCACCACCTCTTGCAGCATTGCTCAATTAATTGACAGAAATCACAACTTACCCTAGCTTCCTTCATGACATGTGTAGTTGATAGGCTTAAAATCGAAATTCCCTTAATGTGTTTTAGCTAACAAAGGTTACACCAATCTAGAAAAGTGGTGACCTAACAAATTGATAATTACTGGTCAATTTCTAACTTTATTACCTAAAAATATTCAAAAAAATAATATACTGTATATACAAATTCATAACCAAACACAATAGCCTTAACCATTGCTAGCTTGACTTTAGGCTGGAAAATGCCAATGACAATTAAAATGCTTGCTGTAATTTATTTCTCTAGAAAATAATGAATATCCAATAAGCCTCTATAATGATCTAATAATAAAATTTCAGCATCCTGCTGCTCAAATTAGGACTAATGTCCTAATTTGAGCAGCTAATTTGGGGCTCTGCTTTCTCATATGTAGTCTTGCCTCAGTGACAGACACAAATATGTGACCTTTAATTATAATGATTCAACAACTCGACCTACAAACATAGGGATGCCTCAGGGCAACGTCCTGGGCCATCTAATATTCCTTGTCAAAATCTTATGCTTTTCTACTGCCTTGCAGAAACTCTAATTCACTAATTCTGTTTACAGACAGCATCTTTTCTCTCTTGTAAAGATATGGTTATACTCAACACAATGTTAAACTTATGAAGATATCTACTGGAATGACAACAAATTTGCTCAATATTGACAAAACCTTCTATATAGTGTTTGATAACAAATCTAAAAAAAATAATTTGATCATGCATATATATGTAATCCATGCATTAAAAGACAGAATGAGGGGGAAAAAATCTTAGGCATACACAACAATAGATTAAAATTTCACACACAACTAGTACATTTCTAAGAACATTTCCATAAGTGAGTGGGTATACTTTTCAATATACACTACCTGGAGAGTGTTTTGGGGTCAACGCCCCCATGGCTTGGTCTGAGACCAGGCCTAATGGCAGATCAGGGTCTGATCAACCAGGCTGTTACTGCTGACCGCACGCAAGCTGACATACGAACCACAGCCCAATTGGTCAGGTACTATGTACTTCACTTTACTGTTATGTACTTCAGTCATTACTTGCCCCATACTATTCTGTAATCTATCCTTACCTGACCTATGGTAGTATTTGTGCATGGGGAGCTACGACAGCAAATTATCTAAAACCTGTTACTCAAAAATCTGCTATTAGAATGCACTTAATTTCTTCCAGACAACACACCCCCTTAGCAAAAAGCCTTAATTTGCTCAATATACAGTTGTTAGACTGGACAGAGTTCCCGTTCATCTCTCGCGTGAGGGTGTTTCATCTACAACTCTTAGTCGTTCTCAGGATGTAAAGCTATAGGTGTTTGGCATTTTTTTATTTAACTACAATAAAAACTTTTACTGCAGCCTGTATTATTACTGAAGTGTGGGTTGACATACAAGGGACTGGTAGTGCATATCTTTCTCAGATTGCACAGAACTAAAACACATCTAGGATTTATTACTACACTTTGTTTTTATTGAAAATTGGAAATGATACAAAGTAGAATCCATTTTTTTAACAGAACTGCCACAAGCATCATGTGTTGAGAGATGAAGTGTACTGCCAGATCATGAAGCAGACAACCAACAATAAATCTTCCATCCCAGACTCCTGCCAAAGGGGCTGGAGACTCTTCTCCATTGTGGCAGCATATTTCACTTGCTCAGAAAACCTCAAGCCTTACCTCTTTAAATATCTCGAAACAGCAGCTTATGATAAAAGAAGAGCTTATCATGGTAAGTGTATATTTATTGCAGGTGTTAGACACAAGGGTTATAAAATACACGAGGAACAGAAAAACAATGTTGCTTTTCACCTTGATGACTTGAATTCATCTAGTCTTTATCTCTTAGCTATGAAGGTTTTTCATGTCTAAGAGAGATAACGTTGGTGATTATGCATGCCTACACGGTAAATTTTATAATAGGCTTTATCACTGTAATGTATGCAATTCTAGTTGCATTAGAAATTCAGTAACTATGTATTGAATTTTATTACTTTACTGTAAATTCTGTATCAGAGTTCTACACAAATCTGCAAGTTAGTCTGTCTACAAGTTTTGTTATACTGCATAAGAATTATTTACAGGAACAGCAATGGTGTGTCTTCAAAATCTTCGTAAGACGTTTAATTATGGTGGACGTAAAAATGTTCCCAGCATTGAGGAGATAACTGCCATAACTGCTGGTCGCAATTCTAAGCGGCAAATCTACAGACTTCCGGGAGGAACTGAAAGAGTTATCAATACCAAGAGTACTTCAGTGGTTCAGGTAAGAGGGGTTTGTAATGTAGTCCATTATAAAAAAAAAAAAGTCTTTTTCAACTAGATGTACTATGACCAAGTTTGCACAGTACAGGTGCTCCTTGACTTACGATGGTTTGACTTTATGGTGGTGCAGTATACCTGGAGAGAGTTCCGGGGGTCAATGCCCCTGCGGCCCGGTCTGTGACCAGGCCTCCTGGTGGATCAGAGCCTGATCAACCAGGCTGTTACTGCTGGCTGCACACAAACCAACGTACGAGCCACAGCCCGGCTGGTCAGGAACCGACTTTAGGTGCTTGTCCAGTGCCAGCTTGAAGACTGCCAGGGGTCTGTTGGTAATCCCCCTTATGTATGCTGGGAGGCAGTTGAACAGTCTCGGGCCCCTGACACTTATTGTATGGTCTCTTAACGTGCTAGTGACACCCCTGCTTTCCATTGGGGGGATGTTGCATCGTCTGTCAAGTCTTTTGCTTTCGTAGTGAGTGATTTTCATGTGCAAGTTCGGTACTAGTCCCTCTAGGATTTTCCAGGTGTATATAATCATGTATCTCTCCCGCCTGCATTCCAGGGAATACAGGTTCAGGAACCTCAAGCGCTCCCAGTAATTGAGGTGTTTTATCTCCGTTATGCGCGCCGTGAAGGTTCTCTGTACATTTTCTAGGTCAGCAATTTCACCTGCCTTGAAAGGTGCTGTTGGTGTGCAGCAATATTCCAGCCTAGATAGGACAAGTGACCTGAAGAGTGTCATCATGGGCTTGGCCTCCCTAGTTTTGAAGGTTTTCATTATCCATCCTGTCATTTTTCTAGCAGATGCAATTGATACAATGTTGTGGTCCTTGAAGGTGAGATCCTCCGACATGATCACTCCCAGGTCTTTGACGTTGGTGTTTCGCTCTATTTTGTGGCCAGAATTTATTTTGTACTCTGATGAAGATTTAATTTCCTCGTGTTTACCATATCTGAGTAATTGAAATTTCTCATCGTTGAACTTCATATTGTTTTCTGCAGCCCACTGAAAGATTTGGTTGATGTCTGCCTGGAGCCTTGCAGTGTCTGCAATGGAAGACACTGTCATGCAGATTCGGGTGTCATCTGCAAAGGAAAACTCGGTGCTGTGGCTGACATCCTTGTCTGTCAGATATGAGGATGAGGAACAAGATGGGAGCAAGTACTGTTCCTTGTGGAACAGAGCTTTTCACCGTAGCTGCCTCGGACTTTACTCTGTTGACTACTACTCTGTGTTCTGTTAGTGAGGAAATTATAGATCCATCGACCGACTTTTCCTGTTATCCCTTTAGCACGCATTTTGTGCGCTATTACGCCATGGTCACACTTGTCGAAGGCTTTTGCAAAGTCTGTATATATTACATCTGCATTCTTTTTGTCTTCTAGTGCATCTAGGACCTTGTCGTAGTGATCCAATAGTTGAGACAGACAGGAGCGACCTGTTTTAAACCCATGTTGCCCTGGGTTGTGTAACTGATGGGTTTCTAGATGGGTGGTGATCTTGCTTCTTAGGACCCTTTCAAAGATTTTTATGATATGGGATGTTAGTGCTATCGGTCTGTAGTTCTTTGCTGTTGCTTTACTGCGACTACTTCTGGAGCTGAAACTTAAGCATAAAGGTGGCAAGTTTATAACTTATATACATTATACTTTTTAATACTGGTTTTTAGTTTGAGTGATTATTTACTAATTCAGTGACAGTAGTTATTTATTTACTTGTTTAGCATGATATATTCATATTCAATTTATGATATTTTCGACTCGCAATGGGTTCGTTGGAACATAACCCCCCCATAAGTTGAGGAGCACCTGTACATGAAAGATGGTGTGTGGTACGTTATATTTTTCAGATACAGCAGCACTCTGATGGAGTGAGGATGTTACAGTTAGAGAGTAATATAAATTGTGATGTCTTCGACTCTCCTTGCCCTGGGCAAAGAGAGAGAGAAAAGTAATTTACTATTTTTTTTTAACTCTGGCTTCTGACCAATGAAAAACTGCATTCACCTGTCACTTGTCTTTAGCTGCCATTCCAGAAGACCACAAACAGTTTTCCAGTGTTCACTGAGCTGCAACATAATCATCCCACAATCAAAATGGCAGCCTTTGTGTTTTCCAAGCTCTAAAACTGAAATTTGGGTATCTGGTTTCTGAATTTCTTGTTTATCTAGCTTACATTTAATACCATACGCAAGATATAAATCACTTCTCTGAGCTAACATTTTCATGTCTTTTTAGCATAGGTCATGGACCTGGAGGCCTAGTCTGGGACCAGCCCATGAACACATTGACCTGACAATATCCTTCAGGAATCCTTCAAATTATTCCAGTGTTCCCTACACCTTCCAGTCACCCCGTTTCATATTCTCTCTGCTAACCTATCATTTGTCATTCTAGATTATTAAGTTACCTCAACAGCCCCTCTTCTGCTCTTTTCAGTTGTACCTTTCATACAACCACAGTCTTGTAATTTCTTCATGCCTTGCAAAATATTCCATAATATTCACAAAATACACTTATCTTGGACAAAACATTCCACTGCCTCTAACCTCCTTGTTGGAGCTTTCAAATACCATGAACTAAATCAGTGATGGTACAGCTATACTGATTCTATTAGTATTCATTTTTTTCATGACGGCTTTATTTTCTGTGTGACATCCTTCATAGACTCATTGAGTGTTAGATCTATTTCCAACTATCTGTATACCATGTATTCACTTTATTCTCATCCCATTCTGACCTCTAATCTTGTATTCCTTAATAAAGGTGACCAGTCAATTTATTTTCTTAGCTACAGTGCAAAAAATGTTTGTTAATAATTTGGAATGTTGAAGGACGAAGTTTTTAGTCTAATCAATACAGTACATTTATTTGGAGGGTGTTAGAGATCCTTATTTGTTTGCATTGTGTATTGTATATGATTGTAATTTTCCATTCATGGGGAAAATTGGGTGAAACAGGCAGTTAACTTCACACTAGATGATTGTTAATTCATTTTCTTTAACAGGATATTATTGAGGAGATGTGTAACATGATTGGTGTGAGGAATCCACATGAACAAGAGGAATACAGCTTGTACTGTATTGTTGAAGGTGACACTTTCACCATGCCACTTGCTAGGGAGGAATATATTCTCGATGTCACAACAGAATTATTGAAAAATCAACAGGTTATTATGTGCTTTATTAATACTACAGTACATATGATATATTGACTTGCTAAACTTTTATGTAATCTACAGTTTAACTTTTTTTTATTGTATGGCTTTGATTAGGGTTGATGAATATTTTGACTACAGTAAACCTTGTATGTCTGAAATCTAATGCATGGGTATTTTTTTCAGGTGTTCTACTTGATATTTTGTAGAAGTGTATGGTATTACCCATTGCGTTCTGATAACCCATTGTATTATGAGGTTGTGTTCAATCAGATTGCTCCAGACTACCTTGAAGGTCTGCTCTTAGTAACGCCAGGAGAGCAGCTCCAGCAAGAAGTTATTGTGAGTTATAAACACACGCAAGCCTTGTACTATTGTGTACTGCATGTTACAAATACTTCATGACTACATTTGCTTTGAAATGGTACACCTAATTTAATGAAATTCATAATGTATTTGCAGTATGACATTGCCAAAGTTGCTGCTCTCCTTCACCGTGCTGCTGACCTTGAAGAGATGCCCAGTATGAAAGAAGTAAAATACTTGTTGCCAAAACCTGCACTAACTGTGCGAGATGTGAAACCTCCACAGTGGGTCAATATGGTCCAATCCGCCTGGCCAGAGGTTTCTGCCCTCACTAGTTTACAAGCCAAGGCACAAGTTCTTGGTATGTAGGATAATATTTTGTAAAATGTCATGATGTTCCTATAAAAGAAACTTTGAGTGGTATTGCTTAAATTAAAAATTCACACAAATTATGATCGTTATTTTAACAGTATAACATAAAGGGTGAAGGAATAAAGCTTAAATTCATAATGTTGGACTACTTCATTGACAGAAATCCTCCAAATGTGGCCACTATTTGGGTCATCCTTCTTCGCTGTTAAGAGAATAATGGAACCAAAGGAAAGAACGGATCATATCCTGGCTCTGAACAAAAATGGAGTTCATTTCCTTGATCTTCTTACTCATGTAAGTTAAAAAAAGAAAGTTTTTCTGTACCAAATAAACACATTTGTTATATTTGCATGGATCTTGCTACAGAATTACTTAGCTATTAACAGCATTTAAAGGGAGACTTTAAAAACATTCTTATTGATCAAAGCATACCTTAAGAATAACCATGGTGATATTGATGTTTACACCTACTAAATGTGTGCTAGTTTACTAGAGCATTATCATTTGTTGCCCCACCCACTAAAATAATCATTATATGCTGGCAGGAAACATTGACCAGGTACAGTTTAGCTGAGGTGATGAGCACAAGGAAAGTCAAGAGTGAAGAGGAATTGTATCTAGACATGAAGTGTGGCAACCTAATGCAGCAGCGCATCACCCGCATACAAACTGACCAAGCTCACGAAATCTCTCGTCTCATACGCCAGTACATTACAATTGAGCAGCGTGTAACCGGACACACTCGAGGAGATAATCCTAAAGATCTGACCCTTTCTAGATGAGTTGTAATGAAAGACTTTGTAATTTTAAACAAATTTTCCAAGGTTGTCATATGAAATAGGATGCACTGTTGATTAGTAAACATGGCACCTGTCTCGTTCACAGTTGGTTGTAAAGGAGAAAATCAGCATCAACTAACTTGAAAAGATAACAGTTGTGAATATAGGTAGTTTTCCTAATTTTGATGTCATGAAGGACATTTTCCTAATTCTGGTAAGACCATATTTCTTCATATATGGGAGACCTGTGATACTTCCTCATGAAATAGTGCACCTGAAAAGGCAATAGCATAAGACTGCACAAACATGTGCCAATTATCCAACACAAAATTGACATTCCTAAAGCTCAAATGCACTGTTGTACATTGAAACTTGTGCTAAATGAGTAATTTTATTATGTTTATTGTTGGTCAGTGCTAGCACATGTGGCTCTTGCCTCCCTTAACTGTACAGAAGAAAACGGATTCAGTATTCAGTAATGTTACCATGTGAATTCGTGCATCTGTTTGTGATGCAGAGGGAGGTGCATATGCAACATGTTTCTGACCTGCCTTTCAAACTATTAGTGTGTGTCTTTTGGTGTATGAACAACTAATATTTGAGTAATTGTTGTGCAAGAGGAAAAATGCATGTAATGAAGGGTGGTATATATGAAGACTTAAGTACTGATGCCATATAACCTCTAAATTGTAAGTATTTGTCTGCATGGAATGAATATAACAACCAAGTGTAAGTGGCAATCTATAATTTTTCTAAATTTATTTCTTTAGGTAACTGAAATGGAGCAAGACAGTTTTACTCGTCAGTTTAACATCATATATGAATACCATGCAGAGCATAAATTCCGTTGAATGAAAGTGTATACATACTGTAATAAATTATTTATTAGTTTACTGTGCATGACCAAAATTACCTTCAGTGTAAAGCCAACAATAATAAGAAAAAGCTTTTCAGCAAAAAATGCATTTCTGTATCTAGATAATCAACGTATCTTGTGAACTGCTCAAATGTGCGAGTTTGTATATTGTATTGTTACTAAAATATACTAGTTTTTATTTTATTACAATTCTTCATGCTGTAACTGTAGAGCTTAGTAGCAATATGATAAACATTTATATTTTATTTTAATTTTATATGTACATTATTTTGTCAGACACAGTACAGGTAGATCCAAGAAGTTAATTAATTTTTCATTCCTATCCAAAATATTTTTAACAAGTTCATGCATGTCAAGATTTTTATTTATTTTTCAGCATGTTGGCTCAAAAATGTTCACCCTGTACATAAACTAATGTTTTGTATTTTCTCACATGCATTCATTTTACATTTTTAACATCTTAAAAGGCAGAATAAAAAAATAACTGTGGTGTTATCTTTTCCTGACCTAGCTTCACACACCTCAGTGCCTTGTTGCAGTACTGGGTTGTGCTATAAACAAAAAGTAATTTAACATTCATAGATGAGGTGGTCTCCCTCAAGGGAGGTTCCTTGATGTTAGTGAGGAGGGGTCTTTATCTAGGGAATTGGATCTGCTCCAATTTTGTGTATAAAGCCTGAATGCCTTCCATCTTCCTCTCCCCAAAGGCCCTGTAAAATCCCTACAGGTTTAGTGTTCCCTCATAATGCTGATCAATGAAAAATATGAGAATTTTACCTGAAAACTTTTATTTCTAATGTCATTTTTTACGGCTTACTTATTTGTTAAGGTTTTAAGGCTGCCTCAGTTGGCTCCCCCCCATAGCTCAGTGCTTAATAGAAGCATGGTTGGCATCAGAGATGGGATGAGTTGTCAAGGATGGTCAGAAAAGACTGATTTCTGGTGTAGCTTGACCGAGACGACCAACACTTGAGGGTTATGGAGTGGTGGACTGTGACAGGAGACCAGGGCTGCATGGCTTGTGGGTTACCATAATCCTCCACATCTGTTTGCTCAACCACCAAAAACTGAAACCAAAATTCACATGAAATGTCTGTTTGCTCAATCACCAAAAAAACTGAAATCAATATTCACATATAATGTAGTGTGGATGGAGCTTCAGTGGTTCTATGACTTGAGATTCTATTATGTTACTGGTTCAACTTAGGTCTGGAACCATTCTTCACAACCCTGTTCAAATTCTGTGAGACTTGTACTGTAATCTAATTTAAATTGTTATATAATCTTTCCTGGTTTAGCACTTTTTCATTAATATAATAATACAGTACAACCTTTACCTTTCTAAGAAAATATTAAGAAAAAATATAACTAATTGTAAAACAAAAAAAAAATTTATTAATATGGAAGACTAACTGATGTACAAGCATCAGGTGATAAGAAAACATAAGAAGAACATAGAACGAGGAAACACTGCAGAAGGCCTACTGGCCCATGCGAGGCAGGTCCAAGTCTCCTACCGGCTTAAGCCAATGCACCCAACCTAGTCAGGTCAGGTCACATTGACTTAAGGGAGGAACCGGCAACGACCTGGTAGCACTAAGCTATACAGGTCTAACTCACAACCCACCCATCCACTACATGTATTTATCCAACCTATTTTAAGCTACACAACGTTCTGGCCTCTTTCAACGGTACTTGGGAGTTAGTTCACTCATCCACAACTTATTATATCCAAACCAGTACTTTCCTATATTCCTTCCTGAATCTGAATTTTTCCATCATAAAACATGCTGCCGAGGTCCTATATAGGCTAGATATTTCAGCACCACTATTTACATCCCCTTTCATTTATTCCTGTCTTCCATTTATTACACCTCAATCATATCCCCCCGAACTTCTAGTCTTTCTAGAGAGTGCAGATTTCAGGGGCCCTTTGTCTATCTCATAGGAAAGGTTTCTGATCACATGGGATAACTTTGTCATCCTCCTTTGTACTTTTTCAGAGAATTTATATCCATTCTGTAATAAGGTGACCAAAACTGTGCAGCATAACTAAATGGGCCTAAACACAAGGATGTATAGAGTTGAGAAACAATCAGGACTCCTTTATTTTTGCTTTTGATATGAAGCAAGGATTCTATTAGGCTTTATTGCGAACACTTCGAATAGAATGCCTTAACCACTGACCCAGATTTAGTCTTGACGTTAAAGATATACTGCATCAACGCTCCACCAACCTAACATACCATTTCCCCAAATAAAGCTAAGTCACACTCCCTCCCTATATAACCTACCTCCACCCCCAATACATTCAAACCCCACATAAAAACAATAAAATACATATAAAATTCCTACCACCATTAGTCACACATAATAGATCTGTGTTCGCTCCATTCTCGCTTACGTAATATTAAGTTTACATTGCATTCTTAGTTTGATAGTGAGAGTGGGCATAATGGTTTATCTTAGCTACTGACCCAGCTCCCCCATAATATGTTTAGACAATATAGAGCCATCTTGTCTACGTCTCTTTAAACACTGCATCTGCCACTTCTCCCCCCCACCCCCCCCCCCACCCCCCACCGACCCTACACCGTGCCATATCAGTCTATTCCTCCTAACTTATTCCCCTGGATACGCTGCGCCCCTACGAATGTTCCCTCGTAAGATATGGACTCGCACGGCCCCACTATTCCCTTCGGTGCCTCATCGGCAAACTTGCCGATGTCGCTTTTTTGCCCTCATCTATGTCGTTATTTAGATTGTGAACTGCAGGGGCGCCACACACTCGCCCTGCGGATCACAAAGCTCAGTGACACTCCCCCACTCTGATTTTCTCCCATTTATGCAAACTCTCGCTGCCCTATTTGTCAACCATTGCCTCTAGCCAGGGAAAATATTTCTCCTCCTATTCCATGTGCTTTAATTTTCCTCAATAGTCTTGATGTGGGAGCCTGTCCAAAGCTTACTGAAGTCCATATACATCAATATATATTCATTACAATGATCTACACGCCTCAAATACCTTTAGTTGAAAAATGTTAATAAATTCGTAGGGCAGGGAATACAGGTCCCACCTTTGTAAAACACTTGCTTGGATTCGTTGATAATTTATGCTTTTCTATGGTGGCTACGAAAACTGCTCGGCAATTATTGTTCCTTAAATTTTCCCACTTGGAAGTTAGGGGGGATTAAATTGGTATATAGTTCGAAGCTATGGACCTGTCACCTGTTTTGAAATTAGGTACTCACATATGTCATTTCCATTATTCTGGACCATGGCCAGTTTCGTAGTGTTATGATTGAAAAAGATTAGCACAAAGGTGTGCTAAGCTCCTCTTTACATTCCTTTAGAACCCTTGCATACAAGTTTCATCAGGGCCTTGGGGATTTGTCTCGGTTTTAATTTATCTATTTGCCTAAGGACCATGTCACTGTGACCCTAATAGTTGCACACAGTTTATTCATCGTCATGTTCTACATAATTTATCATTACTGGAATATCGCTGGTATATCTGTGTAAAAACTGAGAGGAAGTATTGTTAAAAATTATACACATTTCCTTATCCCTGTCAGTGAGCTGACACGTGGAACTTTTTGAGGTGGGCCTATCTGGTCCCTGATAACTTACTTCATGTAAACCTGAAAGAATCATTTGGGTTATTAGTCTTCGATTCCTTGCACTTTAACCCATAATCTCTTTTTGCTTTTAGATTCCCTTTTTTTTTCTCTCTTTACTGAATATATCGATTTCTTAATTGTCCTCCCTCTTCTTTGTTTTGCCTATATATGCCTCTCTCTTTTTTGACCACTCAGATATTTTAATTATTGTCATTCATTTAGGATCATTTTTGTTATGATCTGATTTCCCTAATTTGGAACATTAATTTGACTGAGCAAGTCTAGAACTGTGCCCTGGGAAAGCATCATATCGGCAACCATCACCACCTACCTGACCCTTAGTCAGGTTCTTCCAGTTCTTCAGAACCTAAGTAATTTTTCAGTCTATGAAATCAGCCAAAAGCGAAAGTCAGGGACGGAAGACGTGATTTGCCTTATTAGGGGATTCCATTGATATATCTAAAAACTGAGTGATTGTTGATCACTTTCCCCAAGCTCATCATTTACCTCAAAAAGAATTTTAATTAGTGTTTCCATACTGGCAAGAACCAAGTCAAAGGAGGTTATTTCCCTAGTTGGCTCTGTCACAAACTGTTTTAAAAAAAACAATCCTGGATCGTATCAAGAAGTCACCTGACTCTAAATTTCCTGTCACAATTGCTCCAGTCTATCTGTCTAAAGTGAAACTCCACATTAGCACAAAATTTTCGTATGTAGATTGCTTACGAATTTCGTCCCATAGAAGTTTATGCATCCTATCAAGATTTGGGGCCCTGTAATCACACCAAAATCGTTTTTCTCGGCCTCGAGAAGCTGTAACCAAACAGATCTCCAGTGGCTGACGCTTCTATTTAATATCTGTTAACACAACAATTTAAATTGTTCTGACATACCATGTACTCCACACTTTTCCTGTTGACCTGTCAGTGTGGAACTAATTTATAGCCTTGTATGTGTCATTCAGGAGGGCATTCTTATCTTTCAGATTGGAGCCAGGTCTCTGTTACAGAAGTACAGAAATATATATAGTGACTGAAATAAAGTTTCAGTTGTTATATACTTGTTAGTAAACCCTCCAATACACAAATATCATAACTTATCTTCATTCATTTACTTATGTTATTTTTATAAACCATCATAACTGTATATCATATAGTGTTCTTCTGTTTATCTTCATTTCTCTCTTCTTTTTGTGTGAATTGTTACATACTGAAAGTTTTTCTCTATTATTATTTGTGTTTCTTAATTCTTGGTACAAATAGAAGAATGTTTTGTACTTTATAATTTACCCTTTGACTGTCCAGGCGTATAGTATACGTTGGTGAGGTACCGTGTTTGACGTAGATTTACTCATAATTCTAGCTAGGCTTAATCAGGCAGGAGAAAGCTAGTAGGGCCCAAATGTGAGAGAATCGGGTCTGTGTGGTCAGTGTGCACCACATAAAAAAAATCCTGGTGCACGCAGTGCTTAATGAGAAAAAAAAACTCCTAGACCGTTTTTTTTAATTAAATTGCCGACTTTGTGGTCTATTTTAGATAGTATTTGTGGTTGTATTCTCGTTTTCTATGGTCTATTTGATAGAATGGAAACTAGATAATAGAAATGGAGGTTGATTTTGATTAACTTGTACTATAAAAAGAACTGGATATGGAGCACAAAATACAGGAATGTTGATTTTTGCCGACTGTTCAATAAGTAAACAAATGATGTCATTGTCAATAAATGTCCAAATAGCCATTCTAAATATGCAAGTCATGAATATGGGTTGATGTATTTTTTACAATTATTACAGTTTGCAGTAGGTATGCATAAAACAGTAATTCTTTATTTTGTTTGAATATACATTTTCAAAATTAAAAAAGCAAGA